AACAAATTTTCATTCTTATTTATAAATTGATAAACCAAAGTAATACATTTTATTACATTTCGTGTAACATATACTAATATATAGATATTTTTTGAGATAATGTATTTATCTGTAAAAATTGTATGTGATCAAATTTGATTGATAAATTTATTCAGTAATAATAAATTGCATGTACAATATATTATTGTCTTGCCATTTTTTTGCTCATAATAAAAAATCTTTAAAAATGATAACAATAAAAGAGTATTAAGTAAAAATTTATACATCCAAAATATATTTCAGTAACAGCATAATACGCCTATGCTAATTTTTAGTTCTTAAATTAAATAGATGTCCCTAATCCCATAGATATTCACCAAACTTGGCAAATTCTGAACGTGATCTACATATCCCTAGCAAGTAGATCATATTGGTATACGTATCTTGATCAAATAAAAAGAATATTTGTTGAATAATTTCTGTTCAAATTAAAAGTTCTTCAACTTACGGTAAATCTATCTGCCTTAAAAAGTATTACGATATTATGCAAAGTCAATTTTCTCCAAAAAATATTTGAAGATGATACTTTAAGTATACCAAAAATACAAGAATTTTGAGAGAACTCAATGAATTTTTGTGAAGGTGGAGTTAAATTGAGAAGATTTTTGGTCAGAGAAAAACAAAAATTACTATCTGATAAAATGGTATTAAAATGAAAAAAGTTTAAACAAAGGAAATGAAGAATTTATATTATATTAGAATTTAAAGAGTAAATATAAAAGATTGAAAGAAAGAATAATAATAGGATTCTTGAATGCAACATTTGGAATGATGTTTCCAGTTGTAGATGTGTTAAGCAAAGAGAGATAATGATAGTTTCTTGAGTTTTGAGTTAAGCTTGTTGTAGATGAGAGAGAAATTTTGACGAGACTGAGGAACTTCATTTGGAATGATGTTTCCAGTTGTAGATGTGTTAAGCAAAGAGAGATAATGATAGTTTCTTGAGTTTTTGCAATTAACCATCCTCAATGACTATTGTTTTAATATAATTTTTAAATTTTTTAAAACTGACATTTTAGTTGTATATTTTTTCTAACAAAGGTACATTCACTAGGCGATAACAGTAAAATGGGATGAAAATATGATAAATAGCATCCCTATATAGTGCCAAACAATATTTATACGGGCCAAAAAAATTTGGCTAGAGATTTGGCGAGTTATAAAACTTAGAAAATTGAGAGGGATTTTTATTTTTGAATTTTTTTTGGAAAGTTAAAATTGCGATTAAAAATCGATTTCCAGGAGAACTAAGCATCTCATCATATATTTAAATCGATAAAAATATTAAATAATAGTTGAATAGTATAACAACGTGAAATTATGGCTGAATCTACAGAAAAAATGAACATATTTGACATTTTTGAAAATTCATACGTTAGATGGTGACAGACTCATAAACTATACTTTAGCTAAGATTGATATATGGTTTCAACAACACATGGTTAAAATTGTAAAAATATTTTAGATTTCAAAAAGATATATGGTAATATAATGGAACAAAGTCAACAAATAGCATGTTAAATATGTTATAATTAACTTTTTATTAGATCCAATAGTAGATATCGAATGGTTTCCAGCTTTATGGTTAAATATTTTCTTTTCGAGCTTCTCTTTAACTGTTGTATTAAGGTTATAAATTTTTGATGCTAGAAACTATGGAATCTTCTTTGCTGCTGCATTTTTCTTGAGAGTTCTTGCAATTTCGAATAGATCTGCGCATTGTATGAAATTGAGGCTTTAAAATATCTTGAAAACAGAATAGGACTGCTTTTCCAAAGGAATGCTTACTTGTAAATCAGAGAGTTTCAAAATTGAGAGCAAGATTATCATCATAACTTTCGATTTTGCTGCGAAAAAGGAAGACAAGTAATTAACAAATCATTTACTGTTGTTCATCAAAAGAAGAAAACTTTGATAACAACTAATGATGATAAAATCAAGCTATCTTTTAATATTTTAAATTGATAAGACATTCAAAATATTTGAATGGTTTAAAATATTTTCTTTTAATTTCTATAAGATATTATCATGATTATATAATAAAATTTAAATTTTTATTCAAAAAGGCAATATTTCAAACTTTTAATTTCAAAAATCTTAATTCTGCAATAAGTGTATTTAATTGTAGCAAATTTAATGATCCTTCGTCATGCTTAGCAATTTGGAACTCATAAATTAATGATTTCTTCAAGTAAAATTCTGCATTATTTCAAAAGTCAATAATTCTCTAGTAACTTTTCTTCAAACCCTAACCATTATATTATATGTATAATGGAGAATAATTGCAAAGAAAGATAGCCGAATTTACTGGGTAGTTCTTGTGATGCGAAATAATTGCAAATTAACACATAGTTTTAACAGCATCAATCTCTTTTTGCTCTCATTTAAATGCATTCGCACACTTTAATTTTGAAATATAAGAGTTTTGGAAATTATCAAATTTATCTGCTCAAATACTATAGATCTTCATAAGTGTTAATAGAATCACCAGCCTTACATATAGTGTTTAATATAATGATGCACATCATACTGGGATTTATTCCTTATTCATCTAGTTATTATAAGATTTACAACCCCATGAAAATTTAAAATTTTGTCAAAAATAGTGAATGTACCTTTTTTCTAACACAACTATCAATAAATTGTAATATCATTATACTATATATTAATATGAATTTTTATAGAAAAGCTTTATTTTTTTCTCAATTTTTAATTTCATTTCAGTCTCTAAACTTTCTTACTATGTAAAAACGTATTATTATAGTAATAAAATAAAATACATGTTTATTCGATCTCGTATTTCAAAAAAATAAAATTACTTATATAAAAAGATTCTCTTTAGTCAACTTTCTTTTTGAATCTCTAATAAGTTTTTACTGTTGCTTCTATATATTAAGTATTGATTCTTGTAGTAAAGAAAATCCGGAACGTTTATTTATTAGAATACTCGAACTTTGACTTACATATTACTAATTGTAATTATTTTCAAGAGCTATTTCTATTACTCCTACTTATTCGGCTTAAAATCTGCTATATTGTTAAGATAAACTAAGTCTAAATTTTGAACCATTTTTTGAAGTTTAAAGTGTAATACATATCGATTTTTTATCCGAATTTAAGAATTGCTTCAAAGTTTTAGCGTGAAATCGTGCATTTTTTCTAATGAAATTGTTATTATAAGATAAGCAATCTGAGTTTTTTTGAATAATATGTCACTACACATGATAGAGCGTTACGTGCTGAAAAGTTACGCTTCGTTCTGAAAGTGGTAATGAAGTTTTATTAGAATTCATCAAAAAAACGTATGAAAATAATCGTATGTCAAAATGTGAGCACTTCTCAAAATTTGCTCACATTTTGACTATTTTTGTGAGATCTTCCTCACAATTTTTTGACAAACGTACAAAAAAGTGCCAAAATGTGAGCAAATGTGAGCAATTTTTATATCTCTCTTCAGCACTTTTAATCTTTTTTCTTTTCAAGTCAAAGTTGGGCACATTATCTAAGTTTACTCCATGTCTAATTAGTCTCCTATATTGAGACTTAAGAGATATTTCAGTTCTATTATTGAAGAATTTGAATATATTTTTCCATTTATGCCCCATTTCTTCAATTCTTTTCAGTAATAGATAATTTTCTTCATTGGAAAACTCTTCCTTATTTAATCCTTTCTGAAGATAAAATAACCATCTGTCTTTGCATTGTCTTGCATTTTTTGTTTCCATGTTGAAGGCTATGAAATTCCAATTAATATCCTTGTTATTGGTGTATATTCTTTCCACTAGATATCTGAGTTTGTTATCTTCTTCTTGGGTAAAAGGGTTGCGAGGCATAATGAAGCCAAATTACACTTTCAAATTTCTTTGAATTGATTCAACGGTTAAATATTATTTAATCGCGGTGTATTTTGAAAATTATGCAGCATTCATTAAAGTAATGTATTAATTTATTGAAAATTTTAACTGGCTACTTGGATCCTCAATTTTACAATTTTTCATCGGGATATTTGAATGAAGGCTTCAAATTTTTGAATAAGATCGTTTAGCTTTTTTATAAAGTGTTATTCACTTCTCTGCTAATTAATTATGATCAAAAATTAGAATACGATCGATAATTGAAATTTGACACTTTGAGAAGTTTACCAAATAAGTTTGACAAAATTTATAAAATCCAGGAAATGAGATCTAGTTTAATGTCATATGGAGATGCTTTATGCATTTTATTTATTTCATTCTAGAGAAACAAATCAATTAAATGCTTTAATCATGAAATTTTGATATCATTTCAATTGAAATTTATTTATTCGGATCTATTAGATATTTAATGCATTAGTCATTTTGAACCATTGCTCATCTAGTTTAATTTCATTTAATTCAATAAAAATATTTGTTTTGCTTTATTCATTATAAATCACTTAAAATCGCACATTTTACAATATATTTGAAATATCCAACCATTACACATTAAGTATTTATTATCAAATTCCCAAAAGGTCCAATATTTGTCACTTTTGGAAACAATCTCACAACTCATTAGCAGCTTTTTATGATTATTTTTAACAATGAGATTTCAATCTCTAAAGTCATCCAAAAACACTATTAAACCATACAATTACGCTTTTTTTAAAATCTAATTTGAGACTTTGATTTCCAAAATCTTATAAAAATGCATATATGCGTAAGAAAAATAACCATTTTTTACAAAATTCACCCGATACTACATGCAATATTGAGTGTAACCTTGATTTGAATTTTCTCTTTCTTTATCTATTCATAACTCAGGACAATAAAATAAAATGATTATATTCCATACATAAATATCACACATTTTAACACATCTAAATGAAGGAGGTGTGTCTTTTCGAAGCAACATGAGTCACCAAATTATCCGCATAAATATAATTAGATTGCTAAACTTCAAATATACAATAAATCGAAAGAATGATATATTATGTAAGAACATTATTCTTTTGCACCATGTGAAATAAGGAGTCCAACAATTTCTTTACTATTATATGTTGTTGCAGTTTGAAGAGCAGTTTTTCCTAAACAATTCTTTATGTTGATATTTATACCATGTGAAATAAGAACTTCGGTTACTTCTTTACTATTAAACATTGCTGCAGTATGAAGAGCAGTGTTCCCATTATGAATCTTTTCGTTGATATTTACACCATGTGAAATAAGAAGTTCGATTATTTCTTTACTATTACATTTTGCTGCAATATGAAGAGCAGTGTACCCATTATGAATCTTTTCGTTGATATTTACACCATGTGAAAGGAAATATTCGGAAAGGGATGGAATATTAAACACCGCTGAATATGTATAGCAATATCTAATATCATTAGTTTGATCGAAATAAACTAAAAATGATTCAAGATTCTTATATTTCGTACAGTCTTGTAATTTGATCTTTATATTATATTCATTCATCAAGAAAGTAACAAAATCAATATTGTGTGAAATAATTGCATATTCCATACACTCAGAATCTGGTTTCTGATATTTCAAACATTCACTCATGATCTCTGGATTTCCTCCTAAAAATGAAAAATGAAGACATCTTTGAGTTATTTCTGAGTTAAATTTCGTTCTTAATAACTTGAAACAATCAACTGCTCCGTGATAACAACATATTTCAAGTAATGAATAAAAATAATAATAATAGTAATAATAATCTGGATATAAATTACTTAAAAGTGATTGTTTTTCATCAAAATCATCTCTTTCTGTAAACATGATGAACCTTTCTTTGTCATTATTCATAATTGCTGTGTAAATTGTATTTTCTGCATGAATATCGAGATTATACAAATCATTTTGTTCAAAATCAGCAGATTTGTCTAATTTAATTCCATATTCTTTATAAAACAAGAAGTTGGAAACAACTGGAATGCTTGTGACCTCTTCCACATGATAATCATCAGATATGAGTTTGGCAAGTGATAAATATGACTTTGTATAGCGATTATTATACGGAATGATATTCAAAATATCTTTGATTAGACTTTTGGGAAGACACACCTTTGAATCAATCAATTCTGTTTTGATCATTTTGTAAATTGTGCTTAAATCTTCTTCTTTTTCTGTTTTCAGTTGATACAATGCAATGTATGAGTCGATATAGTATTCATAGATACTTCGCAATTCGCTGTATTTATTTGGGTGAATGTCTTGATCAGACATGAAAAAAATTAATAATTAGATATTTGATCTTACGATAGAAAATATCCATAAAATTCATTGGAAGAATAAAATTTAAAAGCTAGATATTGGCATTTGTACGATATAAAATATCCTTTTAATTTAAACCCATATTCACAAACTTTGCCTTCAGTTCAATTATCCCGGCAAGTTTCACTCGATTTTCTGGGGAGTAAACATAACAGAGACTTTAACTATGAAAATGAGTTTTGTATATTGATGATTTAGGCAAAATTAGATTGAAGTATCAACTCTTGTATATATAAACACATTGCTTATATCATAATAATGTCTCTGTCCATTTCAATAAAAAAAAAATAAACGATGTATCCGATGTATCAGGGATACGGCGCCCCTAATCAAAATAGAGGGCCCGGATTCCCACCTCCACAACAAATAAAACCAGAACCGTTAGATTGGAATCTTGTTTCAATATTAGATCCCGTAATTATTCAAAAAGTAAAAGATTTTGATTCGTTACAAAAGATTGTGACTAATTTTCTTGCAGCAAATTTCACACCAAATTGTTCTAAGATACTTCAAAATCCTCTTGCTCTGAGACTTTGTCAATTATTACAATTAGGATTTCAATTTATGGATGAATCTCAGCGTGAGCTTAAAAAAATTATCGACGAAAATGCTGTTTACAAGCAAAAAATGATCAATGCGCTAAAAAAACTCAAATCTAAACTACAACAAACAGAAGAAAAATTAAAGATTAAAAGTATTCCTTATGACAAATGTCCGATATGCTCTAAGAAGTTCAAATCTATAGATTACGTTGATAAGCACATCATTTCTAAACATGAAGAATTATTAGATTGTTGGGAATGCATAAGAGGAAGGAAGAAACCAGAAAAAGAGCCAGAATTACAACTGGTTCTTGAAGAAATCGCAAGATTACGTGCTTCAATTAAGCAAGGAAACATTTCTACAAATCAAAATTCAGAAGATCAACTATGGATAAATTCAGAACAATCACGCAATCAAAATGCAAGTGAGGAACTTGATGAAGCAGCACAGACACTCAGTGAATCCGTGAAACTCTGGAATGAAGTAAATAGATTTGATATCTTCAATAAACCATCAAATTACGTACCACCATCTGAAATTTCCAATCCACAGAGACCATTCTTTGTTGAAGAAAAGGATATCCATGAAAACGAAGCAGATGCTTTGGCGTTATTCGCTGCCGAAGGCGGAGAATCCCAAGAAACAGAAAATAATCAGGAAGAAGAAGAGGAAATAGATGAATCTGATATCCCTCCATCTCTAGGACTCCCTCAGGTCAATGCAAATCTTCAACCTGAACAACCACAAAGATTATTCGGTCCAAGTCCTGCAAAAGACAAAGAAAAACTCATAAAAGCGGCCAAAAAGTTCGTTTACAAGCCACAAAAGCCAATTCTCGAGACAGCCAAGAAAAGTGAAATTTCAGATTCAATTGATCACGTCAGGAAGCAAGCAGCAGCACAGGTCAAGCGATTTACCAATGCTATTAACGGTGATGCTATTACACCAACGTTTGTTCGTAGAAATATTGCAATTAATGATCCGGATTATGCAGATTTAAGGAATTATATACAATCCAGGCTCGAACACGAGTATCCATTATCAGGAGACAAACTAGAATCACAGATAGCTCCTAGAATATCAAATAATGGAGAATCAAGGCCAATTAACTTTAATCTCATTAAAACAGGAGAATTAAATGATGAAAGTAGGTCAGGAGTATTAAGTGAAATAACAGCATCGGATATCCATGAAGATGCCCAGGATGAATTACCTTCTTTCTCATATGAAACATTAGATCCGCCAAATTCACCAACAATTATTTCTACAGCAGCGCCTATCGTTGGTATACCAATGAATGAACCAGAACAAACAATTTCTATTGTCGAAGAAGACATTTCTCCGAAAACAGATTCATCCAATGATTATTCTGATACAGGAGGGCTTTCTGATATGCCAAATCCACCACATGATATGTTTAACGCCTCAGATCCACTGAAAAATCAACAAAATGTTGAAAACAAACAAAATTCTCCTCAAATTAAACAAAACCTTGATGCAAAACCACAAGTTATTGAACAGAAACCAAAGATAATAGAAACTAAACCTAAACAAGAAGAACTAAAGCCAAAAATCGAAGTTAAACAGAATTCACCAGAAATTAAACCAAAAGTTACAGAAAATAAACCTAAACAAGTTGAATCTAAGCCTAAACTTGAAGAACTTAAACAAATTAAGCCTAAGATTGAAGAAAAGAAGTCAAATGTGGTTACTCAATTTGATATTAGGCCAGATATTAAACAGAACGAGCCAATTAAGCAGAATGTTGTTCCAGAAGAAACAAATATGACATTTGACGATGCTCCTCATGATTCTTTGCTTGAATTAGAACAAATTTTCAAACCAAAGCAAAGTCCTGAAGAAAACAAAAACATTGAAGATCAAAACAACTCATTGTTATTACAATCTAATGTTTTAGAAGAACTGTCATCTGGATCTCATAGCGAAAACGAAGATATCACTTCAATTTCACAAAACGAGCAAATTCAGAATCCAAGTTTCTTCTCACCTATCCAGAAGAAGCAAACAGAAGTCAATGCGCATATTTCTGTCTCCAGTATCCTTCCAAAACCTAAAACAGAAAAAAAGAAGAAAGAGAAAGTTCCACAAATCAAAACGGACCTTGACAATGTCTTAGAAACCATCTCTAAATCACCACCTTCAAAGTCATCATCATCAGAAAGCGAAGAATTCTCATCAAAGCCTGAACCAGCGAAACAGAAACCTCCTTCTATACAAATCACAAACGAAGTTAGCATTGATTCACCTCTTCCTCCGAAGAAGGACATTTTGATGACTCCACCACGTGTTTTGCCTGTCCAAAAGAGGAAAACTCCTCAACAGTTACCTATTCTTCCAGTCCAAGATGACGAAGAATTTACATTCGAAGAATCACCAGGAAACTCTCCCGTCAGAAACAATTCATCATCATTTATTAACACATCATCACCGAGACCACATGTCTCTATGTCTCCATCAGCTATGTCGCCCACTAAACGACGTAAAATCATTGTTGTTCATGAAGATATTCCCGCCGAACCATCATCCGACATCAATCTCGAAATCAGTGATTTCCACGAAGAAATTTCTCGACGAGAAGATTCAAGCATGATTGAAGGCAGCTTCACCGAAGATCTTGCACGTGTTGAATCAGTCAACGACATTGTTTTTCCAGTCTCTCCATCCACGAAAAAGAAAAATTCTCCACCAAAGAATTCATCACCTCAACAGAAAAGGAAATTGTCACCTCGAAGACAAATCGAAGCTTCAAAATCAGATATTAGCAGTATCGATTTTAATTATCATGATGATCATTCTAGCAGCGGATCTCTTAGTGATGATGGCTCATTCAATATCACCGAAGAATTGCGTAAATTGGACGAATGCCATAAAAAGAACGAAATTGAAGATATTGCATCAAATTTATTCATCAAATCACCACCCGTTCCACAGCCTAAATCAAGATTATCTTCAAAACAAGTCGTTCAATTGACAGAACAACCATCTGACGACCAAAGCTCATTCTTGTTAAAGAATCGAGTTCTTCTTGGTGTCAAAAATTCAACAATTGATGATGAAAGTACTGGATTTTCATTACTTAATGATAAACAGCAGGATTCAAAACATATCAGAAGATCGAAGAAAACTAAACAACAGACATTCGGAAAATGATATTAATATATTTTCATTCTTGTTTATTTATATTTATTTATATTTGTATGTTATAAAGATTATATTTGTATGTTTTTTTTATATATATTAAGATATCTTTAATATAAAGTCAATTAGTAAAGTTTCTTTCTGAGATAAGAAATATCTTTATGATGAAACAGATCAAAACAAAAGATGATAAAATATGTTACAACATTTCCTGGATGCAATACATAACTTGGTTTTGATTTATTTAGATTGTAACAACTATTATTTTGTTTTGTGAAGTAATTATAACATAAGTGTGTTGATGTTAAACAAGAAAATGGTTAGATTTTTATTAATTCTCCTTTGAAATCAAAAATATTAATATTGAAATAGTAACAATCATCCAGATCATTGGAAGAATTCTTTGTTTGAGTGATTTTGAAAGCAACAAAATAATCTTTAGTTTGAAGTGGAAATTCTTTGATTTCGCGAATTTGAAATTCATATGACTGATTTTCTAATAAAATACATGTTCCATCTTCTTTGATACCTTCTAGATTCCAACTTCTTAATAAATTATAATCATCGTCACATATCGATCGTATAATATATGATTTTGGTTTTAATTTATATCCTTTAAGATCAGCTTTCACCCATGAATTAGGTTCATTATCTGTATAGAACTCAGAATCATCTGAATATGAATTTATATTGGATAAAGGTTCATCAATAATAGAAGAAGCAGTCATTTCCATGTGAATTTCTTGAGAAACTTTTTCTACAAATTTAGATTCAACAATAATACTAAATGATTCATTTGATATTTTAAATTGATTTTGAGCTTTTTGTTTTTCGAAAGATGCAATAATTTGGTTTGAGATTTCAAAGCGATTTCTTATTTTCGAATGATAATTTTTCAGTGTTTCATTATAAATAGTTAAAAGACTAGATTCAAATGAGTTTTCAACTGAAAAATGATAAAGAGAGTCATAAACTTCTGATGAACAAAATTGTAAATTGACATATCGAAATAATTCAAATAATGAATTGTTCTTTCTGCACGTATCTAAAAGTAACAAACATAGTTTGTCTTCATTTTCGATTTTGAGTTCTTTAGATATCAAAATTTTTTCACAAAATTCAAAACCATTTTTACAAAAATTAGAAATGATACAATCATCATTCAAACTGTACAAATGTGAACAAATGTACTCGATGCATTCATTCATCATAGAAAAATCATTTTCTAATGCAGAGATTTCGTACTTCTGAAAAACGTTTTCGTTTGTAAGAGATTTATCTGATTTAACATGATCTGAATATATCTGTATGAGTATTTGATTTCCAAAATATTTACCAATCTCGAATATGTCATGATAATGAGGTTCGTCTGCTTCAAACTCGAGTTTGCCTGTTTCTATGAAGTTTAAAACGATATCGATTGAATCTTGACATATGATGTCTAAATGTGTATTCAATGATGTGATTGATTTATCAATAAAATACTTTTCTTTGATTAAATCTGAAAAACAAATCGCTGAAGACTTCTTCGTTTGGATGATTCGATCATTAATATTGATACGAAATGTACCACATTCAGTAATAACATGTGCACGCTTTAATTCATTACACAATTTTGATATTTGAACCATTTTGAAAATAAAAAAAAGTTGGATTTTTTTTTTGCTTTGTACGAAATCTTTGAAAGATGCCATCATCATTAGGTTTTATTGTACATAAGACATAAAATATTTACTACATCAATAGACAAAATACACGAGCATTTAAATTATGATTGAATATCATGAACTCTTTTCATTCGTGAATGAGACGATATGAGTTATTTGTTCAAAGTCAAAATCATCCATATACAGTCTAAAAATAAAAATCTGATGTCATTATGAAATAGATCGGAATTGCAAAAAATATGAGTAAAATTCGTAATATTTCCAAATAAATATCTTTAGATATGGTCGAGCGGCCATGGAATTTGCATAACATGTATATGAACAATATAAAAATAAATGAATGGATAATTAAAAAAAGACTACAAATAATTTTAATCAGATCTCTTATGATAAATAAGATTCATCCTAAGAGTTTGTCAAGTGCAGATACAGTTGATGATAATGGAACACACAGTGATGTTTGATATCCATTGTCAAAGTAAAGATCAGACAAAGCTCTCATGGAACTCTTAGCGCTATCATATTTGCTTTTATGGAGCTTAAGTTCATTAACCATTTTAGTAAATTTTGCTGTCGGAACTGTGTTTGTACTTTTTCTTTTTCGAAATCTTTTTGGAGTAAGATCAAGATTATTGGAAATCTTTTGAGCTGCATTCTTAACGAAATCTTTTGAGTCATCGTATGAGTGGGACCGCATTATTTTGCGCTGAACAACTGATGAAAGAATAATTGATTCGTTCAATGAATCTTCAAGCTCTGTTTCTCTCAGCTTTCCAATAAATTCACAACTATTATTAACACTTTTAGATAGCTTCATTCCCCCTAGAGGTGCAAGATGACTTCTTTCCATTGTATTGAAAATTATGAGAAATGTTCTGTCAAGAATTCAAAGGATAGTTTTTCTCCTTTGGATCAACCTATATGCTTTTATTAACATATACAGCAAATGTAATTACTTTCTAATTCAATTATATATAGAATTCTATTTCTGAAAGTTACCGCAATTTTTGAATAGCCATCTTCAATGAATTGAAAGAGAAGATAAATTGAATATGCGAATTTCTTCCTATTCTAAATACTATCTTTAACAATATTTTTAAATTTGAACGAGAAAACAGTTTACCGGATAATTTCTTTGCAGGAAAATCAAAAATGAATCATATTTAAATGTAAATAATGTGAATAAAATCGAAAAATAGCAATTGATGATTTTTTATTTGAATCATTTTTTAAAATTTAAAGAATGGAAAACGATATTAATAGGATACACTTAATGGTTGAAATACATCACAAAAATAGATCCAAAATGAAATTTTTGTAATATGATTGTACGATATAACAATATCGATTTTTATCTTCATAAAAAAATACAACTAAATGATGAAATATCGTTAGAGAATGAGGAATGAGGTATTTTTTTATGTTGATTTTTTGATAGAGAATTATTACATTTATGGTTGTATGGCACCATCATTTTGATGGGGCAACTCATAGCCAGCTTGCTGAGGATATTGTTGACATTGAGGATATCCTTGTTGCGGTGGATATGCATATTGAGATTGCGCATATGGATCTGGATAAGGAGAATTTCCATATTGGTATGGTTGCGGTTGATTTTGATATTGCTGCTGATTATAATAAGTAGCATTTGGATCTTGAGGATAACCTTGCTGATAATTTGGATTATTATATGTATTTGGTGGTGGAACATTTGGTGGATTTTGGGCATCTTTTATCGATTCATCATTAGATTTGACTTCTTTTGGTTTAAAGCAGCATTTCTTTTTCTTTTTCAATCGGAAAATTATTAAAATAATGATACCAACTACAACGAATAGAGCCATCCAACCCCAATGAACATTTTTTTACTACTGTAATGCCTACGACGCCTATATAAAGCACTTCTTTGCTGATTAAATATACATTCTATCGGGATAAACAGAAGAAATAGTAATGGGATCATTCGGCTAAGAATCTATATTTTTGAATTTGTCAACGGCGCCTCACAAAATTTAAATGCATGACAATAAAATTAAATACTTGATTTCATTATTGATGTTTTTTGAGAGCGTTAATTTTTTATCCCCGCCAAAGATCCTGATCAACATTGGCATTCTCACCGAATTTTCAATTGTTGGTCATTTATGAAATTAAGACTAATGTCGCTTTTGATATAACACATTGAAATTTTTTCCCCACAACAACCCAAATTAATATCGTTAAGCCTTTATTCTTTTAAATCTGAATTCAAACTTCCCGAATTCAGTCGCTCAGCAAATTATGCTATGTAAATTTTTGTAAAGTACCAAAAAGTCAGATTTTTAATCCCAAAACATGGAAGGAGATTTTGCAACTACAGAATCTTTTTATTCTAATCAGCATGGCCACATTTCTTTCCATGACATAATACTCAGGGATACTGCTGTATTTTCTCAATTTGAAAAAGCCATCAGATATAACTCTACTTTGTTCAAAGATAAAATTGTATTGGAAATTGGTTCTGGAACCGGAATTTTTTCTATGATGGCTGCAAAATCAGGAGCTAAGCATGTCTATGCATGGAAACCATCATTATTAAATATTTATTCCAAAAAAACTATCGAAGATAATAATTTGCAAGATAAAATCACAATTTTAAGTCAAAATTTAGAAGAAATCAAGCTAGAGGAGAAAGTAGATGTCATTTTTACTCTTTGTTTCGGATATGGAGTAATTTATGAATCTTATTTTCCTCATTTCTTAAAAGCAAAAGAATTATTTCTATCGGAAAACGGAATAACTATTCCTTCAAAGATAGATCTAATAATTGCTCCACAAAAAGTATCACAAATACGACGACAATTAGCTCAATATTCTAATTATTGGGATAACGATGTTTATGGATACAACTATAAAGCTATGAATGAACTTGTTGATTCATCAGTTAATATTGATTACTTAATTCCTACTTCAATTTCTTCATCACCTCATATTTTCAAATCAATAGTTACATCTGAGGCAAAAACAGATTTATCTCTTAACGGAAACTTTGAATTTACAATAGAAAGCGACCAAGAGCTTGAAGGTTTTGGTTCTTGGTTTGATATTCAATTCCCTACTTCAACCGAGCCAATAATTGTCTCAACAGCTCCATCGTGCGAAAACTTGACACATTTTTGTCAATTGGCTTTCCATTTTCCAAAATCAATTGATGTCAAGAAAGATGACGTTATTTCTGGATCAGTTAATATTAGTTATCAGGGAGATAAATGTTCTCCGTTGATTTATGATATTTCCTATAAGATTAATGACTCAGATCCGATTTCTCAGAAATACATTCTGAAATAAAGTTTTAAAAATAGATATTTGTATGTAAATTTATGGCTGTACAAAATCGAGAAAAACATTGCCGTGCGGTAATATAGGGTCAAAAAAATCGCGCCTCGGCGGCTCCGCCGCCTCGGCACTATTAAGTGCGCATTATATTTAATATGTTCTTCTTTTTTCTTCTTCTTCTTTTCCTTTCCTTCTTCCTCTCCTTCCTCTTCTTTCCTTCTCCTTCTCTTTTTACAACAACGTCGAAGATCTTCGAATTTGATTGTTGGAAAAGCATCTATTTCAGATAAAGGATGCCTTTCTCACAGTCAACATACGAGGGTGGTGGCTGAAACGTTCTCAAAAAGCCTGAGATGGTAATTCTCTGATCACTCATAGCTGGGCAGGTAGTCATTGCTGACAATACCTGTCTTTATGCATGCACGCTTTCATGTATATGGGTTTACACTATCAATTCGCAAAGTTGTTCCAAATTCTTCCAAAATGGAAGGACCCGAAACGACTTTGCTTGTTAACGATACAGACGCATTACTTTGCATTGATACTGTGCTGAGTTGTGTAGAAAGTTTGATTAGAGTTGTTTTGTTCTGGTATCTCTCATCTTTTGATGAGAGAAATCAAAGCAACACAACTCTAATGAGTTTGTTTTCACTCATTTGTATGTAGGTTAGTTAGTATCCCTAAGTCGTGTACGGAGGCACTGCGAGCCTCCTTACCCATTATATGTGAATTTGACACTTTACAAAACCGTTAACGTATATTTTACAACACAAACGACAACACTAACTTAACCTTAAATATTTACAAAACCACCAACCACTTCACTTCACTACTGTAAAAAATAAACGTTCTCACTTACAAAAGTATTGCAACTCTTCCCATTGCTGTGCTTCACACAATAGTTCATATTCTTCAGTATCGCTGCTGTCGCTCCAATCGTCAGAGTCAAAGTCACTGTCAAAATAAATGTTAGTAAGTTTTGACAAAGCTAATGAAACACGTTTACCGTTTGTATCGTATGCTTGTATAAACTTTCCATTCTTCATTCCTTCATAAACGCTCAAACTAACTTTACCCTTTCTCCCTCGTATCTGATAGAATGTATTTTCACGAGGAACGAAGAACAAGTTCTTGAACTCATGATCGTTGTAGTTTGTTATCTCAATAGTTTTCGTCATTTATATAAAAATAATTTAAAAAAAATAAACTTAAAAATTAATGATATTACTACCTTCACGCGTATGAAAACATAGCACAAAAATAAATTTAGGTGAAGTGGTGAAATCTCACCTCTTTTTTCACCCGGTTTTTCACCCTGTTGAATTCATTGTTTTATAACTCTCTTCCTTTCTCCAACTCTTCTAACTTCTTCTTAAGTTCAGCAATGTTGTCCTCATGAAGTTTAATCTTTCTCAAAATTCCTTCTTTATCTAATGGTTGCTTTATCTTTCTAAACTGAACTCTACCATCCTTCATAGTATGAATGTAAAAACCTTCTGGAATAGTTCCTGATTTAATGTATTCTACCAAAAACTTTTGTTTCATTGCTTCAGTGACTTTAGTCGTCATTTCAATCAAATAAAAATTTTAATATTAAATAAAAATAACGTTATTTTTTCAGTAAGGAAACGCAGGAGTTTTACGATTTATTTGAGGAGTAGGTTCTGGTTTAAATGTTGGAGTCGGTTTAGGAGTTGACTTTTGAACAGGAGTTTGTACTTCCATAGGTTCAGGAGTCATTGAAGGTTTTGCTTGTGAAGGCGTTGGTTTTGGCGAAGGTGTTGGAGTTTGTTTAACTTCAGCTACTTCAGTATTATTTACAACATTTGCTTTATTTCTTTTCAACATCATAACTGCTCCTGCTGTAGCTAGCAAACCTAGTGGGAGACCATATCTTATATAAGGACTTGACCAAATGCTATTTTTGACAGGAGCTGGTGGAACACCTAACCTTGGTGAGACTGCTCTTTGCCATTGTGCAGCTCGTAAGAAATATTCAATAGGTGCTCCATAATCGTTTGGTAAAGTTTGTTTCATAGATGGTGAAGGTTCACGAGAGCTTGATGAAGAACTCATTTATAAGCTTTAAAATAAACGTTCATCCTTTATTCCTCACTGTCGTCAGCAGCTAAGTTATAGTCATCTAATCTTATTATTGGGATTCCATTAGCACGCACCTGAATGGCAAAGCAACAATCCCTCATAAATCCAATAAGTGGCTTTGGTACATTTTCAGTTGCTAGTTCAATAGGTCCTTTAACAGACAATTTGTATGTTATTGGAGCAGTAGATGTTTGACCTTGCTGGAAGCAAAAGTCCACTTCTGTTGGAAAACCACATAAGAAATGTGTGTTGTCATAGCTATCCCATTTATGTTCCACACTACCATCATCCACCAATGACCTCATAACATCTTCATTAAATCCTATCATATCATTGTTTGTATTGCAAGCGTTCGCAACCATTTCATAAAATACAGGTCCATATGATTTTTCGGGTTCTGCAGGCATATTTCCATAAGCTCCCATGGAAAGCTGAAGATATTTAAACTTAGGGTTCTCAAAATTAACATAATAGTTGTCTTTCTTTCTAAATAGTGCCCAAATACTTTTAACATTAATAGGCGTATAAGCTGCTGTAAATGTTGCACTTGAACTATCTGTATTCTTTGAGAATGAACCGTCCATAGGAATCCAATCCATAACTTTAACAGGAAAACATAAAGCCTCGTTTGTATAATGTTCTACAAGTTCTGTATAAATGTTAGGGTCTAAAGAGAATGACTTTGGATGAATAAAACATTCATTAAAATCCATCTTTGTTCGAAATAGTTGCTGGGTTACAGTTGTAATAGTAACTGTTCCACTAGCTTCTACTGCCTTCGTTATCATAGTGAATGGTTCATTCCATGGAACAAATTTATTTGTCGGTGGATTTGAATCTGAAGCAAATGCAACTTTAAGAGTTGGATTGAAAGCAATGATATCATTTACAGATATAGATGTGCATTGTAAGGCGTCGCTACTGAACTTTACTTTAAGCTGAATGTTTCCTGCAAAAGCTGGAATAAATCGAATAGCTTCTAATGGAAGGAATCTTCTAACAGGAATTCTTAAACGAAGCTTAAAATCAAATGATTTTCCTGCTGTAATTGGACCACTAACAATTTGTCCTGTTCTGCATGTTCCCGAATGACTCCATACATCTTCATGTCGAGTCTTTGAGAAAACATCTACTTTCTTTATTTGTTCGGTAGTTTGTGAGTTTGAAGTTATATATGCTTCTTCTCTTGCGTTGTCTTGAGAATATACGATACGACCATTTGCAAGGATTTGATATCCAGCAACTGCATAGAAAGCGTCATCGAAACCAATCCAAAATCCTGGTGGGTTTGTTTTATTGGAATCTGAACCAATTTCTTTATCTACAATAAATTGACCTTCCATCTTATACGTAATGAATGTATTGTAAAGGTCCAACATATTTTCACCAGGAGGTGAGAGATTGAATGTTACCCATGTGTTATCTTTAGCAGTTCCAGGTTGTGATGGAATCTTTGCGTCAGAATATTTTCTATTAGTGTCACCAATTTGAACTGCATTGTCTATGATATCGAAATATGAGCGAATCTGATGAATATGCTCTGCTGGAGTAAATTCGTTTAGCTGTTCGTTCTGCATGTATTTACTTCAGATAAAAATATCTATTTACTTCATTATTCTCACTCTTCTTCTTGGCATTCGTGGTGGAAGTTGTTTCTTGACATTTTCAATGAACTGTACATTCTCTTTTGTCTCAACTTCTTTCACTGGTGGGTCAGGGTTCTTTGACTCGGTTTGTTTTTCAATGAAATTCACGAACTTTGCAATAAGATCTTGGTTCGTTATTGAAAGAACATCTGGCTTCTTTTCTTCTTGTTCTTTTGGTGGCTCAGTTTGAACAGAAGGTTTTATATGGGCTTCGCCCTCGGTGCCATGCACCTTAATGTTGTCGCTTTCTGCATTCGCTAATGGAACCTTTCTTTTTCTTACGTATATTTTACCATCTTTACTCTGACTTACGTAATAGAAAGGATGTTGTATTCCTCTTGCGTCATTTAATATAATAGACTCTCGCTCTGATTTTGACAAGCTCATTTTACATCGGTTAAAGTTTTAATTTTATTTTTTATCTGCAGTCAAATGACTCAGACAAGCCCTACGGACAAGACCCAAGGGGTCATAGATGTTGAAGCATTGAAGAAAGAAATTCGTGAGCAAATTTTATCCGAACTGAAGGAACAAAAACAAGAACAAAAGCCAGAGAGACCAAAGAGAAAACTTAGTGAAAAACAACTTGCTGCATTAGCTGCTGGAAGACAAAAGAACCCAAGACTACTGGCGAAGAAAGCTAGAGAAGAAGCTGAAGCAAAAGCTAAAGAAGCTGAAGCAAAGAAAGAGTAAATGGTTTATTTTTATCCGAATTAAATGTATAGACAAATACCTTTATCTGTTGCATTCAGTAGTGAAAACCATGACGTTAAAATAAAGGGGAACAGAGTAACGTTTAAGTTTCCAACAGACTGGATTGTGAACATAAATGAAGAGAAGTACATTGGCATAACATCTATGTATATAACACGTGCTTTCAGAAAGGTTGACTTTATACTTCAAGTCGAGATAGAAAATGACGAACAGTCTTTAAGCGCCCAAAACATTCACATATACAAATACTTTAAAGACGATACAACATTGTTGCAATGTATGATTTCATTTAATGAAATGTTCGAGAAAAAGTTCAACATTGAAGTACAAACTTTACAGCCTTTACGTGAGTTTCTTGCACAACTGAAAGAAGAAGGTAGTCAGCCACAACTTATAGACTTTCATTATGAATTTAATGAAAATGAAGATGGAACACATGACTGTCAGTTTGTTATATATTCACCATTCAATGAAGTCGCTAAAAAGAAAGAAGAGCCATTTCGAATAAGATTTCAAATCACTGAACCCAATGAAGACTTCAAGAATGTTTTCAATTATGATGCAATGCTTCCGAGGAAAAATGAATTTTCAAAGATTGTAACACCTGGCATTTGGGATAGAAAGCAAGCTATATTATATTCAAACTTAAGTAAGGGAGTTGAAAATGAGTTCATTGGTCATACAAGAACTTCACCACTTCCTAACCCTAAATACTATAAATTAACTGGCTTCAATCGTGAGTTTTGGATAGACATGTTCTCCACTCATGACCATAACTGCCCAGTGTTCTTACCTCCAGACCATAAGGACTGTCTCTACATTGAAGCACAACTCTTAAACTCTACCATCGCAGTATTGTAAATGACCACATGGGCTTCGCCCTTGCCGCTAGCGGCTTATTTTTATCATGAATGGTCTCACTGCTGACAAAAATAAATGACCTTATTATTTTTCTCATTCATGACCTCATTGCTGACAAAAATAAATGACCTCAGAACTTCAACTTACGAATAAAGCTTGTTTTAGTCGTTATTGAGAAGTTAAACTTTTCAGCAAAGCAAGGACTAGAAGACTTACATAAGTCAAATCCAATCTCTTGACCATCATGAAGTGCTTTGTAAAGTTTCATTAAACTGAACTCAGAGTCTTTGTCATATGTTCCAACAGGTATGTGAATGTTCTTATCTTCATTGTAATAGCATTGTATAGCTTCAGGAAACATTTCATTAGCTGTTAAAGCAAGAACGTCTTGTTTTACACCTTTACAACGTGCATGGAATGCAACTTCATTTAAATCGTTTGTGAGTAAGTCAATGTAGGTCTTCTTTCCACAAAATATTGACTTGTATGCTAAACTTTGTTTTCCAGGTGTTATTTCTGCGAAGTCAGAATGGAACTGACCTAATGTTTTACCAATAAGTTCTCTACCGTATCTCTTCTTAAACTCTGCTGCAAGCTTTGGAATGTCTTCATTGAAAATATGCATGCTATCACAGTCCTGGTAAAATATTTGAAGTCCCATATCTTCTGCAGTACAGAATACTTCACACATTATTCTCTTCGACATAGACAGAATGTTAACACCAAGTGGACAGAAGTTAAAGTGTCTGCAAATGCTTTTCGTTAGCTTGAAAATAGTTTTATCTGAACCATCCAAACCTTCGAACTTCACTATATGGTTGTAGTTTCTGATGGCATATCTTATAGCATTTTTGTCATTTACTATGGTTATTTTTGACTCAATAGGAGATAGAATAGTTTTGCCATAATACTGTTCAGAATGAGCTTTATATTTTCTTGCAAAGGATTTCCTTCTTTCTTATACTTTAACCTTAACTCAAACAACTTCTTTACTTCATCTCTTATTCTAATATCTCTGTTTCCATCGTAATAGTATCCTTGCAACACTTCACATTTGACACCTTGATATTTATGAGGTCTTGTAATGTTATATGGTCAACATACATTAAACAGCAAGTGTTTGAACTTCTGGAACGTTAAGTTCTGGATTTAGTTCAGGGTCACAAACTATTAAAGGAAAGTGTCTATGTATTCCAATCTCTGTTATCTTAATGAGAACAAAGAAGCCAGACATAAACTTTTCACCAATGGGTTCCTTTTGGTCGTCATCGAATAAATGTCTCATGAGATACTCTGTGCTTAACATTTCTTTCTTCATAACCTTTGGAATACCTTCTAAAGTATAAAGTCTTGCTATAGCTGATGGATATAATGAAACAGCGTCGAAGTCAGCAATGAGTTTCTTTTCGCTCTTTTGTTTAATGTTATCTGACAGCATACATCTTCCACCTTGAATGCATCTCGAAATAAATTCTCTTGGTTTATTTGAGAGGTCATAAAGATTTCCATTCGGGAAGTATACTCTGTTCTCAAACAATTTGTTAGCAATTGAACAAATGCTAACGTAATCATAAACGTTTAAATCAAACTCTTTCAATATATCATTGCGGAACTTAACAAAACCTTCTCTTGAAATTCTTACATCTTGTTTGCAATAGAATGTGCTATATTTTTCTAAGTCGAAGTGGTTCTCATCTATTCTGCAACCTTTGATGGAATCTATGTTTTTCATGAACGTATCCGCATCCCGGATAAACTTACATGCTTCAGAAATGACACCAGTTCTGTTGTCATTTGCTAACAAAACACTGCTGTAGTAGTTGTATGGAAATACTTCTTTCGGTCCTGTTTGTAAGTTAAACATAGCAGGAAATAGTTTAAGCTTCTTATTTATAACACTGTAAGAGTCTTTTATAATAATTGCCCTTCCTTTATATAAGCCAGTTATTTGCATTGTTCGTGAACCTTTAATGATGGGAGTTCCTTTCACTTCTGTCATGTGTCTTAAGATGAAGTTTATATCATAACTGAGGTTATGGAAAATATTAAACTCTTGTCAGGGAAGTCGCTCCAAAAATTCTGTTGCACAGTTCTGACCCCAAATGCTTTCACTCACTGAACCATCTTCACTGTCATAACAGATGTTAAAAGCTTTATGAAAGCCATCGGTACTGCACTCAAAGTCAGCAAAGAAAACGTGCTCAGGAATGAACTTGCACTTATTTTTATTTACTTCTTTTGACTCGGCTTTCTTCTTCAGTTGTACACAATACTTTGGAGCATATGTCAAATCTTTAAATGGTGCAAGGTTCTGTTTATATAAGTCAGTCGTATATGTGAAAAGTTCTCCATAAGAAATAGGTTCGAAATATTTGCACCACAATGTTTTCATAACATCCCATAACGGTGTTGTTCTATCATAACGAACTACATATTTGTTCTCTCTCTTTGTATAAATCTTCATCTGTTTCTCAATGTTCATTCCACCACACTCCTTCAAGATTTCTATATAGTTGCGAATGAAATATGTTGTCATTGGTAATCTTTCGTTTAGCATGTAGTGGTCTTCAACAAGAAGTAAGTCAATAGTTCGAACAGTTTTACATTCTTTTGGTATGTATCTCTTTATTTCATTATGTCTTGAGTCATTGAAGTAACCAATGGTAACATTAAATGCTATACCTGTTGCGTCAGAAATTTCTTGTACTTTACTTTGAGGAAAGTCTCTAACACGAATGACTTCTCTCATGTGGTCAATAGTTTCTTCATTTACTCCAGCCTGAATGCAAGCATAAACGAAGCAGTTATCTTCTGTCATAAGTGTTGCAGTTCTTTTGTTCAGTTCATTGAAGATTTGGTAGCGTTCAAGACTTATAGGTAATGTGCAAAGATACTTCCAGAACTGACCGCTTCTCTTCTTATAAAACTTCTTTTCACCATTATCTTTCCAAAAGCTTTCTATAAGTGCTGGGTTTCCTGTTTGCTTAAGAGCTTCCAAAATGGCTTTCTGGTCATTTGTCAGTGTGCTTTCATCTCTATATGGTCTCTTTTTTGGTTTGCCTTTCTTTACATCTGACATCGTTAAGCCTTCATATTCTGTTAAATCATACATCTTTATTTCAGGAAGATTCTTTATGTTTGTCAAGAAGAAGTCATAGTGCATTTCAACAATACCTGCAGCGTTTGCTTCTATCTCTGATATAAAGTTCTCCTTCAAGAGCTGATGTAGTAATGTTCCAATATTATTGAGGTTTAACGTAGAACATTCATACTTTCCACCAAGTTTATAACATACCATCCATCTTTGTTGGGAGTTTATTTTAATCTTCTCTAAGAGTCTCATGAAAACCTTACCGAAATGTTTGTGTAAGTAGTCTCTGTTTGGTTCATCTAAAGCTTCGATGTTAAAGTCAATGAGTCTATTGCCTGTCTTAACATTTCTCTTCCTATTCTCTTCATCTTTCTTTAACCATCTCTCACCTTCTTTTGGTTTGTCGTCAATGGAACGAATGACATCGTTAGCTTTGCGAACTTGTTCTATAGCACTTTTAAACATCTCTCTTCTCTGTTGTTTCAGTGTGTCGTCTCTCTTTCGTGTTTTACCAACGTTTGCATTTGTTATGTCATACATTTCTCTTCTTACTTCATGAGGTACTGAACGTCTATGATATAAGTCAATAGCAACGTCATTTAAAGGAAATGCTCTTGCATGGACTTCGTCCTCACCGCGTTGCGGCTTTATGAACTCATGAATTCTATCATAACTTATTGCACCATTATAGTCATTGAGGATGTCAGCGAGTGCTTTTTTGTTTGTTGCGTAATGCTTTGCAACATCTATGTTAGCTTCTGTAAGAAGTTGTTTTATTTCCGAGTGTTCTAACTTAGACAACTTCCGATACATCTTTAGTAGGAAATAAAAAAATATTTTTTTGAAAAATTAGATTAGATTTTTTTAAGTTATTTTTCAAAATAATTTAATATTTTTATTTTAATGAAACACATGCAAGATTGCAAGTTCTTTTCATACAATGCTCTCGCTACTGCCATCAAGAATGAGTTCAATAATGCTTCAAATGTTAATGTTATCTTTAACAAGAAGTTTGTGAAAGAATCTAAGTTTGGTCAGTATGTCAGACCATTAGCTATCGTCATTGACCGCAAACGTTATACTTCACAAGAGTTAGCAGTAGTTTTGAAACAAAAGAGTTTCTTCGTGAATGTCAAAGATACTCATTATACTGTCATAAAGAACTCTAACATTGACTTCTTCAGTATTGCTTTAAATCTTTCCGAACAGAAAGAATATAAGAAGGGTGAAACAAATGTGAAATATTATCCTTCATCTCTGAAGACAATAACGAACAAAGATGTTATACAGAAATTCTTACCAAAGGTTGAAGAAGCTTCTATTGACATTGACGAAGGAAGTGAAATGGTTGAAGAAATAGACCCTGAAGCTATTTAAGCAAAAATATATTTTTGGTTAGTCTTCATATGGATATTTTACAACAATTCCCCAATGTATAAACTTTTCATACGCTTTTTCATAAGCTTTATATACCTTCAGAAATTTTGCATAATCTTTAGAAGCATTTAGATATTGTTTAAATGCTTTGTATGTCTTCAGAAATTTTGCATAATCTTTTACATGTTGTTCGTTCTCTTCTTCTGTCATGAGTTCCGAATATTCTAAATTCATGTTCTTTCATATGAGATAAAATTTTATAAAAAAAATAAAATTAGCTTAGATTTTTTTATTCTTCCTCTTTGAAGTTATCGAAATATTCTGTTATTTTTTCCTTCAGTAATGTTAAGTCTTCTTTGAATGTAAGTATTGTGCAACCTTTGATGTCATAGTGTGTTTGAGGAAGAGTATTTTTGACAATTTCCTTTATTTGCTCATTCGGTGTCATTGAAATCGGTAAGTTTTCGCGATAGAACCAATTTCTGTCAGATTTGTATATTTTAGCTAAGTCATAAAAGCTCTTGTTGTTTCTTCTGACTAAATGCAACATAACCATATCTTTATCTTCTTCTTTCTCCAACACTTCAGTATATATCATATACTTATAACTCTTTTCCTTTCCTTTTGGTACTGAACGCGGTATTCTTTTCTGTATGCTTTTGTCTTTGGATTCAATGACTTCATCTTTTGCTTGAAGTTTCTTTTCCATCTCTCCACGTTCTGCTTTATATAGTTCATCTAACATCATGAAAATATAACAAGCATAACGAGGTGAAGCCCACATTGCTACAGCGTTTACTAAAAGTCTATGAACATAATAACCTTTCAAACCAGGAGCCAAATTCTTGCGATTTTCGTACGGAATCTCTTCTCTCGGTTTTCCGAGGGAAGCAATCATATGAGGAAATTCTTCTAAAAGTTCTTTTGTCTGTTGGTTTTCAAACCAATGATATGCTTGCTTTGTAGAACGAGGAGCATTCATTATACTTTGCATTTGGTACATGTCATCTTTGACCGAACGAATGAGGCGAAGTTGTTTGTTATATTGTATGTATTCGTATTCTTCATTTATGGCTTCATGAACGATAGCAGTTGTTGTGTTCTCTAATGTTGACATTTCTGTTCTTACATACAAAATAAAAAAATAAATAAAAATAAAACTAACTTTATTTTTCTAACTAATGAAATTCATTATTTTTGTTGCTGAATTCAATAAAAATATATTTTAGGGTAGATGGTTAGATCTAACCTCATTTCTACCCTCATTTCTACCCCAGTTATTTTATAAACGTTTCACATGGTAAACGTTATTTTTTAAATTTTGTGAAAACTCAACGGTTTGACACATGCCCTAAAAATTATTTTACTCAGAATTTTGTTGCTGAATTCAATAAAAATATATTTTAGGTGAAGAGGTGAGATTTCACCCCTTTTTTCACCTAATTTTTCACCTCTTTTTTTCACAAGCGTTTTACATGAATTGTACGATGTATATTTGAAATCCTAAACAATTTCGTAGCTTCAATTTCTTCTTTTAGTACATCAAAAATTTTAACGATACCGAAAGTTTCTTTATACTTCTTCTTGACATCAGATAATAGGAAATCGTCAGCAGTTGGATAGTTTTTATTCAGAAATTCTAACATGTTCATTTTATTTTCTGCCGGTTTCTCTGCTTCTTTCTTTAAGTCAGCATAGTCGTTTCGCATACGTTCTATCTCTTTTACTGAATAGTTATATTTCCTCATTGCTGCTTTACATTTAGAACATTGCGGATTCATTTTTGCGTTATATTCTGAAACCTTACCTGCTAAAACAACTAAGGGAAAAAACCAGAATTTTCGAAAAAGTGACACCAACTATTAAAGTTATTTTATTACTAGATTTATTTACAAATTATAAGATAATATCATTAACCGAATATATTTTTAATATAAATAAAAAACTTTTTTTATACAAAAAATTACAATCAATCGATAAATATTATAAAACATTTATTCCAAAAAGATTAAGTAATAGGTGGGATCCTGCATATAATATAATTTTATGTCATAAAGTTTACAAATTTTAGATGGACCACAGTGAGAATGTGAGTGGTTAATTTAAAGGTGGTCTGATAAAGATATCGAAGCTTACTCAACACAGCATGAAGCAGTTTCTAATACACAATCTTACTAGTGGTGTTTCGGTCGCCAGCGCTCTCATAGGGGTGCTGATTTCAAAACCACTACTTCAAATTATTCAACAATACTCAATGCAGCATGAAGCAGCTACTACTGCTGTATCTTACTGGTAGTGTTTTGGTCGTTGGCTCTTGCACAGTCTCTCAGATTTTCAAAATTTTTTTTCAACACTATCTTGTTTCGCTCTCAGAAAGCTATCCTACAAAGACATCGAAGCTTACTCAACACAACATGAAGCAGTTTCTAATACACAATCTTACTAGTGGTGTTTCGGTCGCCAGCGCTCTCATAGGGGTGCTGATTTCAAAACCACTACTTCAAATTATTCAACAATACTCAATGCAGCATGAAGCAGCTACTACTGCTGTATCTTACTGGTACTGTTCTTCGCTTTTACTATCAACTCTAAAACTAGTTTGATGTATTATTTATTCATATATAAATATATACATATATAAATATATACATATATAAATATATACATATATAAATATATACATATATAAATATATACATATATAAATATATACATATATAAATATATACATATATAAATATATACATATATAAATATATACATATATAATATATACATATATAAATATATACATATATAAATATATACATATATAAATATATACATATATAAATATATACATATATAAATATATACATATATAAATATATACATATATAAATATATACATATATAAATATATACATATATAAATATATACATATATAAATATATACATATATAAATATATACATATATAAATATATACATATATAATATATATACATATATAAATATATACATATATAAATATATACATATATAAATATATACATATATAAATATATACATATATAAATATACATATATAAATATACATATATAAATATACATATATAAATATACATATATAAATATACATATATAAATATACATATATAAATATACATATATAAATATACATATATAAATATACATATATAAATATACATATATAAATATACATATATAAATATACATATATAAATATACATATATAAATATACATATATAAATATACATATATAAATATACATATATAAATATACATATATAAATATACATATATATAAATATATAAATAACAAAATACAATCAAAAAATAGTGTTTGAAAATTTAAGGTTAAGTGTCACTTTTTCGTAAATTCTACCACACTCCATTGCTGCTTTACATTTAGAACATTGCGGATTCATTTTTGCGTTATATTCTGAAACCTTACCTGCTAAAACAACTAAGGCGTCAATGGTTTTCTTTAAATCTGAAGCAGTTGGTTTTATCTGTTCATGCCATACCTTACCTCTTCTATCTTTATCTCTTATCTGCCATACACATTTTGCAACTAATGAAACAAAGTTGTCGTATGTCTTAAACTCCCCCGATTTATAAATATCTGAAATGTTTTTATAAATCATGTCGCAATCTTTGTCCATAATTTTATGGTTGCAATGATATCCTAGAAACTCATAATTTACCTTTCGTATGAACTTCTTTATTTCTACTGAGTCAGTTGCTTTGACTTCAATTTCGTCGAATTCAGGAATAGTGAGCTTTTGTTGTTGGATTTCAGGCAATTTGGGTAAATGGTCAATAATGTCCTGCATGTCATAAAGATACTGTTCATTTGTTTCATCTTTCGCACTACAGTCTAAATTACTTGTTAAAAGTTCCTGCTTTATTCTTTGTATTTCTGTTTCGAAAGTAAATGAAGAAGGAATGAAGCTTTCCATCTCTACTAACATAGATGTTGGATTCATGACTAACGAGTTTGGTGCTGTTGTGGACAGAGTCCTGCCGTTCGCGGCTTGAATTGTTGTTGTGCCGATTGTTGACATTTCTGTTCTTTTATACAAAATAAAAAAAATAAATAAAAATAAAACTAACTTTATTTTTTATTTCGGGAAAATTCATGAAAATTCAAGAGGGTAGAAATCGGGTTAGATATCGGGTTAGATCTAACCATCTACCCTAAAATATATTTTTGCTGAATTCAGCAACAAAATGAACGAGGTCAGCATGTATGTAAATACCTTTGAATTCATTTATAACGCCCTTAGTAAGCTCATAAAATGCTTGTTTTGAGGTTGAGCCACTTTTGGCTCGACCGTATTCTTTCAACCAAAACTCAAGAATTTCCTGCATGAATTTTGTATAAAAAGCAACCGCCGGAATTCGGACCGTTGCTATATTCTTCACAAAATGCCTTATAATACTCTTCCCAGGACTTATTTTCCAACAACTTTCTAAAGTCTTTCCTAAACTGACGGCGCAAAGCGCCAAGACCGAAGGTCCTGACTGACTGACTGACGGCACAAAGTGGCTTAACGAAAACATTAATATATAAAATTCATGAAAATTCAAGAGGGTGAAAAAACAGGTGAAAAAACAGGTGAAAAAAGAGGTGAAATCTCACCTCTTCACCTAAAATATATTTTTTGGTCCGGGAACAACTTTCTCTCAATTGGAGCTGTAGCATACTCTTTGCGTCTTTATGTTAAAATAAATGGTACCATTAATGATATCATGACTGTTCTCGTTCATGTCTGATTTACATCTAATGAAAAAGTTTAGAAGAATTTTCTTATTCTTTCTGGCTTATTTTTATCCTTCCAGTACTCCCGCTCTAATGGTCCCAGATGAGTTGGTTTAGATTCTCTCAAGTTCTTAGATGGTATAACATCTTCAACGCCTCCTTCATATCTTACTTTATAAGTGTCATCGTTTATGTTATAGCCAAGTATTTCAATAACCACTCCTCGCTTTGCTTCGTCAATGGTTTCAGCAAGTTTGCCATTACTACTTTCAACTAATTTATGACGAGGATAAAACGCAATAGAGTCGTCGGCAGCTTTTATAAGATATCCATTACCTTGCGTAGAGTCTACGATATAATAATTTCGACTTAACCTTAAACGTTTCTTTGTCAACGGTTTGTCGTCAAGAACTACACGAACTTTTGTTCCAGGAATGAGGGTAAATTGTGTTGAATTTCTGATATTTTGTGTTTGGCTTCGTTTCTTTTGTATATACTTTTCTTCTTGTTGTTGTGTCATTGAATTTGGTGTATGTCCTGTTGTAGAATGTGTTGAGGAATTATATACTTCGAGAAAATGTTTCATTGTTTCTTCGGTAAAGTCTCGCTCTTGATTTAAATCTCTGAGAGTCCTTATGAAGCGGTTTATGATGCCGAGTATGTTATGGTTATGGTCTTCAGTAGTGTAGTGAGTTATGTTATGCTTAATGAGAAAATCTGTGATTTCATTGCTGAGGTATGCACTGTCTTGGTCTGATGTTAAAGTACTTGGGCTATGTTCTGCTACAAACTTTTGTAAAACTCTTAACACTTCACGAGTTCCTTTATTCCTCATTGGATATGCATATGCTTTGCGAGTGTTAACATTAATGAAGATGAGGAATGGTTTATGTCCTCCTTTTCTGCTTTGAATGAGAGTGTCAAATTGGTATGCGTCAGGAGTGTTGGAGTAAATTGGTAAAAAGTAGTCGTAAGGGTTTATTTTTGTTTGATGTACAACATTTTTGTCAAAGAACTTTTTAACTTCAGCTCTGTTAGTAAATCCCCAACTTTTTGCTGCTTCATTGAACTTCTTAAATGACCTCCATGGATGTTGTTCGAATACTTCTTTCAAGCTCATTTATGTAAAGTTAAAGATTTTATTCAAGACGGTAAGCCTAGACCCAAAGGGTCTAGGTTCAAGCGCGTTCATTGAACGCGGTACCATGCATAAACCGTCATAAATGGTGGCATATAATCTTCACCCGAGCCTGTTGGATTTGTTGTGAAAGTGTGTGAATGATTTCCTCCTGGTTCAGTTGGTCGAAAAATCTTTTTTGCTGAATTGTTATAAGATGGAGATAAAACGTCATTGCCAGCTTCATACTCTGAGTTGTATAATGGATGGTCTCTTAATGAGTGGCTATGGTCGCCAGAAAAGTTTGTCGTTCCTGTATGAGTGTGCGGGGGTAAGTTTGCTTCTTTAATTTTCTTCGAACCTCCTGTTTGCTTTGAATATCTAGCACAGTATAAGAATTTATCTACAATCTGCTTCCACGTACCAAAACCTAAAACACTTGCTGGATTTGTTGAGTTCATTGACGTATAAATAGAGCCTATAGGATATAATGTTTGAAGTATTTCTGTCTTTAATGTTTGAAGCTCTATTTTGTCTGCTTTCTTATCATATAAATCTTGAGCAGTGAATTTAACATTATTTTCATCATTCATGACATAAACATTTTTACAGCTAATTTCTTTCTTCGTTGTTATGTTTTCATTCGATGTTAAACCTTGTGGAAAGTTAGGAGGTTTATAATATAATGCATCCCCACCAGTTCCGCCAACCGTTCCTTCAATACTTTCTATAGCAACAGTTGAGAAGGAGTTATGTGTATGTTCTTTATCTGCTTTTTTATCTAACATTGCTGGTAGTTTATATGTTTCAAAGTTTCTGACATGACCTTCAATGTTCATACATTTACTATTTAAGGAGTTTAGTGTATCTTTTACGCTTGTACTTGGATTCTCTAAAGGTGCACTTGAACCAAGGGTATAGTTCAATATTATGTCGTCTGCTCTAACAGTAGTGAAGGATTCATGTGTATGGTTCTTGTCAGCTTTACTATTTAATGTAGCTTGAAGTTCATTTATATCGGAGATATTGTGTTTATGAGATTTTCAAACTTTGTTCGTTGCGTCAAGTTCATCTTTGTCAGCTTTACTTTTAATAGCATCTTCAAAAGTTATTTTTGCCTTAACTCTCAATGTAAATCTTGGTTCAACTAATACACCGTTAACAAAGAAGTATGAAGCATAAATTTCATCGTTATAACCAAATGCTTCTGGTGCTTTACCTGTGTCATACTGTACAGTACAGTGTATGTCATAACCTTCAGCACGAATGAATTTATATCTTCTTTCATTAACATCTTCCGTCTTCACTCTTTCATCCTGTGTTAAATATCCGTGGTAGTCCGTTATAATTTGTTCGTCTGAACTTATATAATGAACATGGTTTTTATCTGCTTTTTCGGCTAATTTCTCTTCTATCTCATTTATTTCAAGTTCATGCCTACCACCACCTCCCGAAGAAGTATTTTTCTTCAGCTCTTGAAGAACGTCCACTTCGCCATCTTTGGTGTCAATAATGAGACTTTGAGTTAAAACCTTTCCTGTCTTAATGGATGTTTGTAAAACTTCTTCTTCACCGTGTTCGGGGTCATGGTCGTCATCATATCTTGTGAATCAGAGATGTTGTCATACATTAAGCATATCTGTCTCAAAAGTTCTGCTATTTGAAATGGAACGAAAGATATACAGAACTTTTCATCATCTCCTAAAGTCAAGTCTGCTTTCTTAAGTATTTCTTGAATGTATACAATGAGAAACAGAGTACCTTGGAAAATATTCGAACAATATTTCATTAGCTGTTGGTTTTGGTGGTTCTTCTGGAGTTTCTGTTGTTTCAGTTCCTTCTGTAGGTTCTGTTGGAGTTTCTGCATCTCTTGACTTCAATGCTCTTGCTCTCAAAGACCTAAATGTTAGAGCACCAGGTTTTACAAAGACTTTATAAATGCTTTAATAGTTCCTGGTAAGTTATTGTTAGCATTAAGTAAGTTCCTTATGCTTCCATCATGTACGTCCATAGCACTATGTAAAAAATCTATACTTTTCTTGTAGTCAGCAATAGACTGACTGTGATTTTTTAAAGATTTGTCAATACCTTTAAGCCAATCTTCATGCATGTCTGATACTGAGCCAAGAATATCATTTGCTTCCTTTAGTGTATTTTGTGCTTCTCGTAAAGTATCCAATCCGTACGTGCATTGTTTGCTATACGTCTTACAGTATCTATTTGACTCCTTGTTTCTTGCATCCAACCAGATAAAGTTTTTAATAGTATCCGAACCATTTGAAATGAAGTTCAAAGCATTTTTAACGTCATCTAAACTTCTTCACCAAGTACTGCCCATATCTTTCCGATTTGGTATTGAAGAACTCCATATGAAGAGCTGTTAAACCAGTATTTATAAGGTTCCATATCCATGATTTAGCAGTTTTTCCATCCTTTCCATCTTCACCATCCAAACCGTTTTCGCCTTGAGGTCCTTGTATTCTTGTTTCCTTGTGGTCCTTGTGGTCCTTGAGGTCCGGTGTCACCCTTCTCTCCTTTCAGTTCATCTTTATGTTCGTTATAATATTCTAATGTCATAAGGTGTACATCATTACTGTTACCAGCAACGCCGAGAATTTGTTTCTCATTCATGACTAAATTCTTTAGGCATTTAATGTTGTCGTCAAATCGAAAGCTCTTTAACAATTCAATGAGAACATTTAAACTTTCACTAATGAGGCATTACTGTAGAATTTATATATTGCACCGTTCCATCATTTATGATGGGAACCTTGCTTGTTGTAATGAATGGGTCATAAGTGTTTAAAGTATCGAAATCAATGACTTTTTTAGTTTTTCCATCGTCAATGACTAAATCATTGCCTTCAATGGTTAAAGTTGAGTTTTCGTTTACTAGTTCATGTGCTCTTCTGCTTCATTTGTTTCATACGCATATGCAGCAATAGTCATATTTTAATGAGAATAAAATGTTGTTCTATTTGCAAAGTACAGACCCAAACGAATACGGGACAGTAAAGCTACAAACAAACTTAGGTCTTCAGAATGAAGCGCTTGCTTTCAGAGTTGTTGACTTCAATACTATCGCAACTTTTGTCATAACAGATGAAACAGATTTCATAGAGATTGAAATAGATGACAAAGAAGTGTTATATACATTTCCTAACAGAGGGTATAGAATAGATAAAATTGCTGGAGTCATAAATACTCTCATAAATGAAGAAACTATTGACAACATAGATGTCGAACTCTCTTCTGAGGGAACATTGAAGTTCAGCAGCGAGAAAGAGTTTAAGATACCAAGAATGAGTCATAGAGTACAACTTCTTTTGGGTGCATACCATATGACATTTCCTTTGAAAAGTGTTGACAAAACGATTGAGATGAAATCTGTTCCATACGTATGTTATGGTAATTGTTTGTACATTGAGTCAAAAATAGCTAATGTCACAGGTATTTCAGGAGTTAATAGTAAAGGTTCAGTAGAATATAAGTCTTCTGTTATGAAGTAATTCAATGTTCATTCCAAACGTTCCTGTCATAGCAACTCATTTAGGTAAATGGTTCGCATTAGTCCTCATAATTTGAAAGACATGCAATTCAGACTTGTTGACTTTCAAGGAGAGCCTGTAGAACTGAAGGCACCAGTGCGAATGACTGTTGAAGTTGACTTTTTAGAAAATATTAAATGCAACAGCTTACAAGAGAACTCAGAGCTAAAAATATAAAGTATGAATGTTATGTATTAGGTCATGAACTTTGGTTGTTGTGTTTGATGAAACAAATGAGTTAGTTATGTCAGTCAAGAGAACAGAAAAATATTGTGTTAGTGAAAACTGCACCAAGTCAATAAGATTAGGTTTGCATTATGAAGATGAGTTCGATACTGTTGAAGAAGTT